GAGGACTTGTGTGGCGCTCCAAGAGGATCTCCTTTACAAACTACAACTCCTCTATTAGCTTGCCTGGCCAGGGATGATGTTCCAGCAACATCTGGAAGGCCCTATGTCCCATTACTCAGCTTCCTATTGTACTTATTCATATTGACGGCTGGCGACGAAGTAACGGGTCGTGAAGTCAGAGGAGCTGCTGGCTGAGTAACAGGAAGCCACCCGAAGGCACCCAAAGGGTCAGACCAGACGTATTCGATGCTCCCCCAACTCCACACCCACGCACGTCACTTAAGAAGGCCCATAAGCAGGTGACAAGGTGGGAATCAGTTCACAGCGGGGCGTCCTCCTCTTTTCCTGAGGAAGAGAGCGGGCTCCTAGCCCCCGCATCTTACAGCGTCAGAGGACACCGAGAAAATAAAATACAAATTAAAAAAACGTATTTTATTTTGTTTGGACCACACAGCTACTTCGCTCGAAAGTAAAGGCGTGTTTGGTATTCTTGTGAGCCGCCGCGGGCGCCTCGTCGTGGAAAAAACCGACAAACACCAACAAGTAACGGAAGTAACGAGGAACTAGTAACGACCGCTGCCCCCGCGCGCTCAACACGATGCGCACGCACACCCCGGCGTGCACCCAGGCACGCGCAAACAGCCGCTCAACGGCATGACAAGCAGCGCTTGGGAGTGAGTGCGTATATGTGAGACGCTAGTCGCAAGGGGACGTTTGTTAGATCACAGAGACCAATGGGCAGCCAGCTAGAGTTCCGGTGATGACGAATGAGGATCGTGAGGAAACGCGCTCAACACGATGCGCACGCACACCCCGGCGTGCACCCAGGCACGCGCAAACAGCCGCTCAACGGCATGACAAGCAGCGCTTGGGAGTGAGTGCGTATATGTGAGACGCTAGTCGCAAGGGGACGTTTGTTAGATCACAGAGACCAATGGGCAGCCAGCTAGAGTTCCGGTGATGACGAATGAGGATCGTGAGGAAAGTGACGCGTGCGTCCGGACGTGGGCCACGCCCCCTCTTTGTAACGGCCGTTTACCATAGACAGCCGTCTTTGGAAGGGGGGGCGGAAAGGCCTCCGAAAGGCAGCGCCCCTTGCGGCGGATCGGCGCTAGAGCATGGTACCCGGCCGCTCTTCCTCGTTCTCTTCTCGTGCACGGCTGGCGGTCCGGAAAAGGGCTGATCCCTGGAGGGGCGCGCGGGAAGGGGGCGAGGTTTTGGAACCGAAGGGCCGCCGGACATATGTACCTGGGAGAGAGGTAAGGGGGGTCAGAGGGTGGTGGTGGTGGGTGGCATCAAAGAGAGGCGAGCGTGAGTGAGGAGGCGGGGTCACCCGCGGTGGGAGCGGTTGGGTCGGTGGGAGGGCGACCCCCGGAGCAACCGAGGCACTGCGGTGGCGGATGATGGGCGGAGGCGGAGCAGGATCTGACCCATCAATTTAACTGTTCACCTGCCCGAAGAGGAAGACCACCGAGTCCCCCGATCTTACCCGGCTCGCTTTCCTTTAAAGGGTTCTCCTTTTCCCCACGTTGGATTACAACTCCCATTCGCCTTGACCCTTATTCACGCGGAGAGCTGTGCTCCAGCCTCATCTGGACACAGACAGACGCGCACACACAAACACACATACACATTGTATCTATCCACAACAATAAGCAGTTATGTCTTTATAAGGCATTATAGAAAACATTTGCTGATTTCACATATGGGAACACTGAAGCTTGGAAGGAGAAGAGGTGAAGGTCCATGACAGAGTATTCAGAACACATGCAAAACTGATCACTCAAGGAAACAGACCATGCAAAAAGATGAGAAAAAGTCATAGCATTTATTTTATACTCAAGAAGGCATGTAGGGAGGGAGTATGCATACACAGCACATTTTCCCCATCTTAGTCACCACTAAGATGTGGTCACATCCTTTCCTATAACCATGGCACACAATCCTACCTGGATGCACAGAGTGAGTCTCAGCCAGATCTGCATGGCTTCTTCCCTGCATCTCTTGGTCAGCCGTCTTTCTCCAGTTCTTCAGGGACCTCAAGCAGAAAGGTATGTGAGGCAGCCAAACACACACAGCCAGGAGGCCAGAAACAACAGTCAACCATGGTGTGGCAGCTAGCTGGATTTTTTTCCATTTGTGACTGGGTCTTGCCCTGATGCCAGTGTATACATGCATGTACACATACAAAAATATGCTGGGAGATGGGGATGGCAGTGGAACAGGACAAGGTACCAAAACTAGTCTCCTTCCCCTTCCCCCCTTCAACAACAACAACAACAACAACAACAACAACAACAACAACAATAATAATAATAATAATAATCTCTGAACTGCAAAGCTAGAAGTTACCCTATGGATTATGGAGTCCAGCCTCTGTCAAGGAGGCACAGTGGAGGAATCGAACTCCAATCCTTAGGCTTCACAGCCAGAGACCTAAAATGCCTCCTCCCCAGTTTCTTCAGACCATTCTTCTCTTTTTGAAAGACAAAGTTTGGTTTGACACGAATGATGAACTTTGAGAGGCAGCTGCTTCTGGTTCTGCCTGTATGATAAGAATACATGTATGATAATTGCAATTGGATGCTTATCGGATTCTTGCTGTATGTACAATACATCTAAGATATCCTAAAGATCTGCATAAAAACATAATTTGTGAAGAGACCCTTAATCAGAGCATGATATTTTATACAAGACTGATTTTATAAAAAGCCATCTCAATTCTTGGAAAAGTAACAACTCACTCTGTAAAAGACAGTCGTTACCACATATCTGTTATCTTAATGCTTTTTCACTTTTCCTAACCAAGCATGGGGTATACTTATATTCTCTGCTTCAGTGAAATGTGGCTGTCAGATATAAAGTCACTTGAGAAATGCCATTTCTTTTAAGAACTTATGTGCTGTCAAGTCACTTCCAGCTTATGGCAACATGGCAAATTAATGACCTTGTAAATTCAAGGCTGTGGCTTCTTGTATTGAGCCAATCGATCCCCATATTTGGTCTTCTTTTCCTGCTTCTTTCAACTTTCCCCATTGTGTTTTCCATTGAGTCTTGGCTTTTCATGATAAGTAAGATTGTCTTATCTTAATTATTGCTTCTAGAGAGACTCCAGGCTTGATTTGATCTTGCATCCCCTTATTTTTATTTCCATGCAGTTTTTCTCCGATATCACATTTTCAATTAATTGATTTCTTTCGCCTGTCACCTTTCTTCACCGTTCAACTTTGTCATCTGCATATATTAATCAGGAATACCACAGTAAAGATGACTTTGGTCTCCAGTGACACAGGCTTATTTTTAAGACTGTTTTCTAGTTTCTTCATAGCTGCCCTTCCAAGTCTCAGTATTCTGATTTCTTGGTTGGAATTCTGATTTCTTCATTTGGTTGATGATTGAACTAAAATATACAAAATCTTTTAAGAACTTAGGTACTGCCTTAATATAAACCAAGAGGAGCAATAAACTAATTAAAGTGACTAACAAAAGTCATGGTAGAATGATCATAGCACATTCTTTATAAAATATAATTTCAATGATTATTGATGGTGGGTAGGAGACAAAGGCACTGTATTCTTTCTTAGTTTGATTTTCTTCTCCCTAATTTCTAATGATGGTTAATATATGATATATCAACAGGCCAATTTTTATTTTATGTTAGCTTTGCTTTATTGATTCATGTATGAATATCATAGACACTTTGCAGTTTGTGGAAGATCATTTCCATCAAATTAACAGAGTTCTATTATCTGGCTGTTGTTAATCACCATGTAATATTCATTTAACTCAAGGATTAGGATTTTAAACTGAGAAAAATATAAGGTAAACCACCAATCCATTTAGTTCAGCATTGTTTACCCATCTGTTGCCAGAAAAACACCTCTGGGCAACTCACAATAAACACAATTGCATGTTACTATCCTCTTCCCAGGCCAGGCAGTTCCATTGGCAAGTCCTTGGGTGATCTAATGCTAGTACATGTACAGCAAATAAGCAGACCAAAGGAATCCAAAAGCAGATTCAATAGTCAAAGGAGAGTTAAACAGATAAGAGTCCTACCAGCATTTCAGGTGAACCAGGTGAGGGAAAGCCAAAGCATAATCCCAAAGTAATAGCAAGCCAGCAGAGAGATTTAAGAGGCACAATCAAACCAGTCCAAAGTTAGTCACAGTAGGGAAGTCACAACAAGCAGCACCTGGAGAGGTGTTGCATTCAGCCGTGAGCTTGGACAGACCAAAGGCTGATATACTGCTGCTGCTCAGCTATGGATGATACCACTTTAGGTCTTCTAGTGAGTAGAGTTACTTCCAAGAAGTCCATTTCCTCCCAAGGAAACCACTACTCTGCATGCTCCACCTCTGGCTCAGCCTCTTGTGTTTTGCAATAGTATATGGGATGAGAAAAACCAACTTTAAAAACAGGAGATTTTAAAACTCTTATTTGTTTTCTTTACAGATGAATTCCATTAGAACCTAAGTATGGAACTGGGAAAAGGAAAACTGCTAAGAACTGGCCTCAATGCCTTGTACCAGGCCATTCATCCCGTGCATGGGCTTGCCTGGACAGATGGAAAACAAGTGATACTGACATCTTTATATCTACAAAATGGAGAGCCTAAATTCGGCAACTCCAATGTGGTTGGTCAGTTTGAACATGTCCACGGGCTTTACTGGGGCCCCTCTTCTGCCCCGGATCTGCCGACGCTTCTTGCTATTCAGCATAAGAAACACATCACCATGTGGCAGCTGTGTTACAGTGCTTCCGAAAGGAACAAACTAATGGTTTATCAGATTAGCGAAATCAGTGAACTGTTTCCCATACTTCCTCAGGGCTGCGTGTGGCATCCAAGCAAAGAGATTTTGGCCGTGCTGACGACACGAGATACTTCGGTGCTGCACTCAGTTCGGCTCAACAGCTCCAGAATAAAAGCCGATATTAAGGGAACAGGTCTCATCCACTGTGCTTGTTGGACCGAGGAAGGCGACCGCTTGGTGGTGGGGATAGGCAGTGCTCTGCATTCCTACATTTGGGATGATGAACAGAAAACATTAAATGCCTGCTCTTTTTGCCCAGTCTTTGATGTGGGAGGCTACATTTGTGCAATTGAAGCCACTTTGGGTCCTCAAGTGGCTGTTGCCACTGAGCTTCCTCTTGATAAGATATGTACATTAAATGCAGGCAGTTCGTTTGAAATCCCCCCTGAGGTCAGAAACTCTGTTCCCTCCCAAACTACCTCATTAGGTTATGAAGAAGAGACCTCCACGGATGGTGGGAAAAAGCTGTCGGACCAAGAAAAAGCTGCGTCAACGGTACCTTCTGCATCTTCGCCTGTGGATCTTACTCATCTTTCTTCCAGCAAACAGCGATCGGATAACAGTTCTCTCACTCATCTGAAGCCCAAAGATTACCTCACGGGAAGCGGCCAAGATGCCTCACACCTGGTCTTGGTGACGTTTGAAAGAAAAGTCACAGCCACCAAGAAGGTCAGCATTCCAGGCATTCTGGTCCCAGATATAATGACGTTTGATTCTAAAACACAGACTGTTGCAGTAGCTTCTAACACTTGTAATTTAATTTTAGCTTACTCTTTAATGATGTCCCATTTGCCCAACATTCAGCAGATTCAGCTGGAGAAAAGCGAGAGGCCCAAAGGCTTATGTTTCCTTACTGATAAACTCTTGCTGATATTGGTTGGAAAACAGAAATTAATGGATCCTGCTTTTCTTCCATCGTCACGCTCAGACAAGTACATTCTGCGTTTGATGATCAAAGACGTTGTGGGCAAAGAAGGTTCCTCTCTAGTTGCCGGTGCTACCCAGGTTTGCTTCACAAAGAGAGAGACCATTGAAACTCACGCTTCAGATACTCACCCTCTGAGCGATGGCTTAGTGATTCCAGGTTGCACCATTCTTCAGTCTCCTAGAAACAGAAGAAAACTTGTAGAAGAAATTAAGAACCCTGCAACCGAGCAACACCTGTTGACAACTGTGGTTGATGCCAAGGAGAAAAAGATTCCCAAGGATTTCCCACAGCCCTTTGAAACTTTAGATATTGAGCCGACGAATCGTTCATTGGTTCTTCAAGGACTGGAATCTTCTCCGGGGATATCAAACATCTCTGTTTCACCCAGTAAGCCAGTGCACAGTTCTCATGGGATGCCAAATTCCTCAAAAACGAACGTGCTGAGAAGTGAAAAAGAAACCAGTTATATCTCTAAAAATCTGGAGAGGTTGTGCAGCAGCTTTACAGAACTGCATCACCAGCTTTTTGAAGTAACTGAACTTCTGAAGTCCGGAAAGAAAACTCTGCCACGATACCCATCTTTTCATGAACCCTCTTTTGTTAACATCATTTATCAGGTAACTTTTGAATAAAATCTAGGTATATATTCATGGTTGTTCCTAAATGCTTAAAATGCTAGTGATCTTCCTTTCTTCAGATAAAAGTGTATCCTTTTAACAGTGCTGATTTGCTTCACCATGGTTGAAGGAAGGTCAGACATTTCCCTGTCAAAATCTAGCTGAAGGCTATTCTTGAGGGGAGCAGAGACAAAGGCCTCTGAAACCTGGGGAGGCCTGTGGCCAGGACCTTTTTGGAATCTTTATTGGTACAAAGAAAAGGGGTGACTGTGTGGTGATGTCTAAAATGCCGTCTAAAAGAGGTTGTAGGTATTCTTATGATTCCAGAAATGTGCATTGAGAGCTAACATGAAAACACTAATTGGAGTGACAGAAGAAAGTAGGGAGACTCTGATTCGGATCTCCACCATCACAAAATGTACTGAGTCCCCTTGGGTCGGTGACTGTCATTCATCTGAACTTCATCTCGGGATTGTGGCTTTGAGGATAAAACTGAGCCAGTGGAAAGGAAGAATCAGTTCTGCTAGCTCAGCTCTTTTGGAGGAAGGACAAGGTTAAAAAAAAAAAAGGTGACTCAGTCTGGAAGGATGATGGCCTGCACTGACCAGCAAATCTTTGCAAGCAAGTTAGAGATTACAGCACTCTGTTGTGGAAAGTGGGGGCATGCAGAAGGTATATCTGGAGCAGAGGCACACCATGTCTATTAGTAGCGGGGGCTATTTACAGTCCACCAGGAGCTGCAGGCTGGTGTGCGACTGAAGCAGCCCTGACTGTTGCCATAATGTCAGTACGGTGTAATCTCTTGCTGCTACCACCACGGCGGAGTGTGTGTGGGGGGGGGAACAGAGCAGGGAGTGTGTACTTCGTTTTTAAATGAAATTTTATTTCTGCGACTGGCAGTTGGTTTAAAAACAAGGTTGATACTCCTTTCGTGGCTTGTTTTAAAGGAAAAATTCCCCCCATCCCCTGCCATGGCAGTGCATGTCAGTAGCGCAGCAGCAGATTTGTTGTTGGGGAACCCAAAGACAGGCAGAGGAGCCACATCCGGCCCATGAGGCCACGTGTTCCTCACCTGTCCTGAGAGACCTCTGTGCCTCTTCCCACAGATTGACAAAGATGTTGAACGCCCAGATGTGTTAACGAGAATAGCCACAAATGACCGCCTTCCCCACACCTCTAGTCGGGCCCCCAACCTTGGGCCTCCGGATGTTCTTGGACTTCAACTCCCAGAAATCCTGGCCAGCAGAGGTGGTGCTGAAGAGTTCTGGGAGTTGTAGTCCAAGAACATCTGGAGGCCCAAGGTTGGGGAACACTGCTGTATTGGATAGTAGAAATGAAGACAGCTTGTCCTAACCAGGACTGAATTTTCATTCGGAAAGACTGGTATTCAAAATAAAAGTTGCAGATTTGAAGTGTATGTCTTTTTGCACCAGGTGAATCTCAGGGTGTTAGTAAACGAACAAAGATTTTGCCTGCCTGAAGTCTGGCCACCCCTACGATAGATGAGAATTGCTTATTGAAGGCAGAGAAAGAGAGATGACCTAGATTGGATCCCCTTATCCTTAGCCCTAGTAGCTGATCAGCAGGGGCCGAATTGATCTCACTTCTCTGATGGGGAGATGTTTACAGGTCTAGTCCAAAGGTTAGAAAAATTGTATTCCAATCACAGAGTCCTCCAGTCAGCGTGGCAACCGGCCGTGTTGCTGGGGCACTCTTGGGAGCTCAGTTCCAAAAAAAGAATGCTTCCAACCTCTGGTCCAGTTGCCCAAATGCCTTCCTTGGCACAGCCCCTGAGTACTGGTTCTGTTTGGGTTTTCAAACCTTGCCTAGCAAGATGATGCACATGCTGGTCAGCCATGTTGCAGCTGGACGCATGGGAATGGGATGAAGCAAAACTGCCTTGAACACTCCAGATCTAAAATTTCTGTCCTTTAATAGAAAGAGTCTTCTGGAACAGTTGCACCGGAAAAGCGAGCTGTCATCCTCTGTGATGGTAAACTTCGCCTGAGTGTCATTCAGCAGCTGTTCAATTTGTCTCTTGTTGAAATGCAGCATGGTAAGTTTTGTTCACCAGAAAGATGATATTTAGTGGAAATACTGCACTGAGGCGAAAGAGGGCAATATGCCTGTCAAAAAATGATTGGAACCTTTTATTTTTGTGTATGGTCGCTGCTTACTTTCAAAACTCAGATATGGCCCAGAATTCAATTGGGGTTCAGATAAGGTTTTTGAGACTTGGCCTAGTAAATTGTGATGAATTGACAAGGTACTGAGGCGTATCTCAGTAGTAGTGCATTTGGGCAGGTGGCCAAGATACACCCTGCACCTTGTCAGTTAGCAACAATTAGCTATGCCAAGTTATGTGCGCCTTACAAACACTCCAGTAGGGTGTGACCTTTGGAATATCAAAGAAAACATTCCACTCCTTGATTCAAATAAACAGTGATTTCCACAGAGTTGCCATGTTTGTCTGTTGCAGCAAAAATAAGCAGTTATCACTACTGTGAATCTGAAGGTAACTTCAGATTTATTTCACATTATTCAGTTCTGAAAGTGTATCTTCTAAAATTGTAGCTTGGGGCAGTCTTCTTAGTGTAACTTTAGTGTGACTTAACTAATCTGTATTTAATGTGCTATCTATACAGACTTGCGTCCATAGAGATATTTTGAAAATCTTGCATGGTATTGGCCTTAAGTTGAGTTCAAATAAGGCATTAAGCAGAAAGATTAAAGGTTCACATGGTTATAAGCTGCAATCTACTCATGGTGTTCTTGCAACACAGTGTTATATAACCAGTAAATGAAACTGCTAGCAAGAACTACATTTCTAAGCAGTTCCTAAAATTACTTGTACTGCATGAAGCTGCTTTTAAAGCTTTGATGTAAAATGTGAGAGGAATGACTGGTAACCGCTTGAATCTACCTCTTGAATCAAGTGATACCTTTATGCTCTGGGAGTTCACATTTCTGTTGAAATGCTAACAAGATGTCTGTCTACCTGAGGTGCCAGCAGAGCAAAACATTTGGACACAGCCATTTTATCCTTATTAAAAATACATCTTTAGGTAGCAGATTATAAAAAGCTGTTTATTGCCCTTCTTCACTCAGTATAGCATAGTTAAGCTATGGAATTTGCTACTGCAAGCGGTAGTAATAATAGCTGCCAACCTTAAAGTTGGTGACAGCTTTAAAAGATTAGGCAAGTTCATGGAGGGTAAGGATACCAATGGTTGCTAGTCACAATGGCTATATATTACATCCAGTAAAAGAGACTCTTTTCTGAGGAAGGTGAGAATGTGCATACCTTTGTTCTCATGTCTCGCTTGTGGGCCTCCCATGAGCATCTGTGGTGGGGCCATTTGGGATATGGAATCATGTAGGGCTTTGGTCTAATCCAAAGGATTTCTTCTTATGTATTTAAGTAATGGCATTTCTGGAATGGTTTCCCCATGTCTGTGTATCTGTCAGCCTTCTTGTACTGCATTGCTACTGTGGTTAGTACAGCTACCCTTTACCTTCTACCCAAAGCTCAGGAGAGCACGCATGGCTTCCCACCCCACCCCACCCTAGCCTCACAATCAAGGTCTTCATTATGTGAAGACTCTCTCCTCTGGGCAGTGTATACATCCAAATCCCACCCTAACACTGCCATAGCAAGGTGCCATTTGAATACAGTAGGACTGAAGGTATATATGCTACATTGTGGCCATGTATCTCTTCCTATCTTTTACTGAACAGCAATTAGCAAGGTTCTCTCAGAAATGAAGAACAGAGTATACTTCCTGCTCCCCAACAATCATATTTCCATGGTTTCCACAATCAGTCTTAAATGAGGATTGTGGAAATGGAAAGAAATATAGTGAATATACCATGTTTCCCCAACAATAAGACAGGGTCTTATATTTATTTATTCTCCAAAAAACACATTAAGGCTTATTGTCAGGAGATGTTTTATTTTTTTTTCATGTATAACAATCTACGTTTATTCAAATGACATTACTGTATTTGAATTGAATAATCTTATTCTGGTTGCTACACAATGGTGGAGGGTGGGGTTTCACTTAACTGTGGTTTATTTTGGGGATAGGGCTTATATTACGAGCATCCTGAAAAAATAATATTATTTATTTATTATTTATCATATTATTAGGGCTTATTTTCAGGGGAACAGGGTATATATTCACTAAGGAATATTTGAAGTCCTGGGCAGCCAGACTGCAGTGCCAACGCTGTTTGTGGAACTGCTAGACAGCAAGAGGGGGGGAAAGAATGGATTTCAGCTTCCATTTCACCTGTCCTGTTAGCAGTGCTGGCTCCTCAGCGCATTGGTATAATCAGATCAACACAGATATTGCCAGTTGCTAGTCATCATCACTAGTTCCGGATTGGTTTATTGGTATTTCTCTGTTGCTTCTCCTGGAAATGAATTAGAGCCTTATTGGCCAGTTGGACATGTCTTGTACTAGCAACATTAATTTAAAAGGTATAACTGCCTGAACTTGTCATCTTCCAGATGTAACACTGGAGAAATGGCTAGAGGTTTCCAGTTTCAGATGACAAGTCTGCCACACGTAGCTGTTTGATTTGATGCTTTTAAATTTTCACTTCATTCGGGATGACAGTCCTGCCTTGTAATACCCAAAATATATTTAGAATGTCTGTGTTCCTGAAAAGCAATCTGAATCTTATGTCTTCTACAGGTTTATCCTGGATTGTTCTCACAGCAGATAACGAAGACTTTATCCCATTAACATTTGATACTCTGCAGGAGATAGTCATAAGAGATGCTAGCGTCAGCTGTAACGATAGAAGCAGCAGTTCTTCCAAAATACTGGATGCTGTCAGTTCTACTGGCGGATACAGGAAGCTTTCTTCTCAAAGTGTGGATCTCACTACCAGCTCAATAGAAATGCTGAGGGAATGTTCTTCCCAGAGTCTAGTCAGGAGCAGCCAGTCTTCAGGCCAAGCCGGCACAGCTCACAACTGAACTAACATCATCCAGCTGGGACAGTTTGCCAGTTATCCTTTCACTGGGCATAATTAAAACTGAATTCTCACTGTATTTTATGCACTGCATTTTACAGTTGTGTGATGTTTTGCTGTATTATAGATATTGCCTTGAATTATCAGTCTGTTTTTTTTCCAGAATGTTATCACTCCATGCGAACTGCAGGACCTTTCAGCAAATAACGTTTAAATTATATGACTAGTAGAGTTTGTACACCAGCATGTTTACTCCGTCTGTTTAAGCCTGTTTGCTATGCTGATTCAACAATTTATTTTATTGTATCACCAGTCACATTTTTTTCCTATTAAACACAATGTAGAGTGTTAACCAAAGCATAAACATGGGGGGGGGGCTCTTTGTTTACTCAGGAGAAGTCTCATTGGCATGAATACACAAAATATATGGGTGTTGTTTCTAGTGCTTCTAGAAGTAGAAACAAAACTGGGTCATTGTTTTTGCAGTGTCATATAATGAAGTCCTGCAGCTTCAGTTTCTGTTTCATTGTACGTCATCTTTGTATTTTATCAGTGCCTGCTGTGAATGCTATGCACTTGGACAAATTATTTAGCTCAGTTTATAGAATTGCTCATTAATTTGTACCAAAGTCCTTCAGATGATAGCAGCATCTGCTTTTGGACAACGCATCTCAACCTAGTCTTCCTTCAGACTGTCCAAGAGACATGTTTACAGAATGTGTGTGACAGAGGTAAACAGCTCCAAGCTATTATCAGTGTAATAAAAAGAAAATTTACTTAATTCAGTATAGCTATGAAGGCTATTTGCTAGCACTTCTGAAGTGGTATTACAACCATTGTATCCTAGAGGTTGAGATCTTGAGCTGATTTTATAGGGAAGCATGGGGAACCTTCAACATGTTCTACTTCATTCCCCAGGCATTTTGCGAGTCTGCTTAGGATTCTTCAGAGGCAATTTAGGGTGTTAATGCCAAGTTCTGAAGCCTTTAATGGTTCAGGACACAGCTGCCTGAAGGATCACTCTCCAGTACTGACCAAACCAAGGTTTAAGCCTCGCCAGGGGGGTCTGTTTGTGATGCCCTTGAAGAATGTGGCCCACAGAACAGGCGGCCACAGGACTTTCTGGATTGTGGTACCCTGGCTGTGGAACTCCCTTTTAATAGCTATACATTTGTCTCCATCACCGTTTTAATTTAGGCACCAGCTGAAAAGGATTTTTGGGGGGAGGGTTGTTTGTATTTGATGTATTTATTGTACTTATAATTTATTAATAATAGTTGTGTGCCATCAAGTCAATTTTAACTTACAGTGACCCTTTCTGGGGTTTTCTAGGTAGGCACGGCTCAGAAATAGTGTATTAGTTCCTTCTTCTGGGGGTGGTCCTGGGACTGTGTAGTGTCCCCAAGGTCCCACAGGCTGGCTCTTTTCTTGGGAGGCACTGTGGGGAATCGAATTGCCACTCACTGAGTTATAATTCAGTACTTATTATTTATTCCTTAACTTGGAATTATGATTTTTAATTGTATATTTATTGGACAGTATTTTCATGCAAGTTGTGAGATATGGTGGATTTCTTTTTGTTGTGTGAAGAAGGGTAGAATATAAATTATTCAATAAATAAAGCTGATATATAGCAATTTAAATTTTTATCTGAAATGTGGTGTGTGGATAACAAAATTGCAATTTGAAATTACAGTGTGCTATATAGCCATGCTGTATAGCTGACTACAATATTTGGTGTTTACAGGGTTCTGTACTGTCACTTACCTAAGAGAACCTACCGTATTTTTCCATCTATAAGACACTACTTTTTCCTAAAATCAGTACCCTAAAAATTGAGGGGTGTCTTTTACACAGAAATAAGCTGAGATAGCTGAGGAGAGAACAAAATAGTACATAGCTTATCTCTGTAAACAGGCTTCCTTCAGCCACAAGGCTTAGTTTCCTACAGTCAGGAGACTTAGCTTTCTCCAGTCACGAGCCTTATGGAACTGATGTCAACTGATCCTGAACAAACCGATTGGAACACACCTCCAATAGGCTCAAGATTCAACAGAGACAAAATGTCCAACATTCTGAGCTCAGAGGCTAAATCCTCAAAACTAAGTTTTCCTAATTTGGGGGTTAGAAAAAATGGGGGCTTTTCTTATAAATGGGGACATTTTATAAATGGAAAAATACGGTACACTTTCTATTATATATTTACCACATGTGTATTAATGTTTATCCATGCATGCACACTTACAAACACCACACTGTATATTGCTAAAGATTTCCTGTAGTAAACTGTTAAATGAAACTACTTGCTGGTATGCCTCAGATTTGTTAAGAAAAAACATTCCAGTAAAAAAATGGTCACAATAATGGGTTTATTCTCTTTATTTTCAGCACACACCAGACAACCAACAGTGTGTTATTCTAGTATCTGGAAATTATCTTAAGCCAAGAGAAGAGAGTACATTAAATATGGGAGGGAAGGAAACTTTGAACATAATTCTCTTTAAAAGTACTTGTATAAAATGCAAAGTCTGGATCCGATTTACAGATACCGTATTCTTCCCCCCTTTTTCTGTGATGCAGATGCTCAGCAACAGGGCATTTTTGAGTTCCGATTCTGAAAGGCAATGGGAAATGCACCTGCGTGTGCAAGGCCAAAGCTGGGGAACCCTATGCACACTCGATGCTTTGGATATTCAATTCATATCAGCTTGGCCAGTATTGTGGGAACGGAAGTCCAAAGCACCCGGAGCACACACACCCCCAAATCCCCCTGCCCCTGATTTAGTTTTTGATCAAGGCTTCTGTAGTGGTCCCAATTTCACTACAAATTTAAGAGACATTCATGTAGCACAACATTAAACAAGGAAGTATAACTGTTGCATTAATTGCACAGCTGCTATTCTAGCTCCCCCCCTTTTAATTCTGCTATGTGACACTCCTTTAACCATTACTGTTACAGTGGGCACCATCCCGTTGTGTAACCTGGTGCTGGTATAAACTAGATTAGGGCGCCAGAAATAATCTGAAGTAATTAAAAGTTTCATAACACATTCCTTTTAGGTTCTGGAGCCCCCGTTTGCCCTGAGTAGCCTTTGGTAGCTTTTTTTTTTAAATAAAAAGTCACAATAGGATTGCTGCCATTGGGACCTTCAGCAATGATCCAGTGGCACTTTTTGACTTTTAAAGCATCTCCCCCACCCTGTTCTGAAGCTCCCAAAAGGGAAAAAGAGCCTTAAGGAGCCTTGGAACTTAAAAGGAGGAAGATAGGAAGCTTTAAATTTAATTAATCTAATTATGTCTGACACCCTGATTTGATTTATGTGGTGAAACTGCACCAATAGGCTTTTGCCCTATACTGTATATGTATTGATGACAACCAGAGAAATTCTGCAATATAGTCAATGTAGATGCATCCTGAGAGTAGCTGAGTATATATATAAAAGATTTATGAGGCCATAATATGCCAAGAGCATGAATAGTTCAAGTTTCAAAAAAGTCTCTACTTAGCTTCTGCACAATCTCTCTTCATTCCGCTTGCACAGAGGAGATCTTTCCATTTAAGCAGTGCTTCAGCAATACTAAGCATAAACAAGGTTTTCCCAACCCTATGGGGGTTTTTTTGTATTTACATTTTATAAAAAATAAATTTTATACATTTTAGTTCTTTTAATAAAAAAATAACTTTTCCTGATTTTCTAATATAAGCACATATACATTTTTAGCCATATAAAATTCTGTTCTAAGGTTTGAGATGCTTGCGTACCAGTCAGGCTGCAATTACATGGTCAAATACCACAGGATAGGTACAATCGAAATATTTTTTACTGACCATATCATGCAAAGACTGATTTGAATTAATCCAGCCCTTTTGAAGCAGGTTTTCCCCTCTGCCACTGGGGGGCTTCTACTTTTTCAAACTTGAATGATTTGAACAGGCTTTTCCCCACGTGGTTAGTTCTGGTATATTTTTAAATGTCTTACATATATGAAATTAGCACTAGATCACCGTATGACCTTATTGTTGGGTCACTGTTATTATTTCCCATATTTATTCCCCATAAAAGGACTGGCAGGCACGGGACCAGAGGAAGGAAGGAAAGGGGGAGGGGCTGTGGTCTGGAATACAAGCTGCATCACAATCCAGTATGAGCAATGAATTCCTGAATCAATCTATAGCCTTTGGGTGATCACTGACTGCAATTTCAAACATGATAAACGCTGCAAATAAAATTGCAGCAAAACTGAATTGTTCCAATTCGATTTTCCAGTGTAGTCTCACACGGATCCTGGAAAGACAACAGATTCTTTGTTTGCCTCCAGCAGTGGGAGACAGTATGGGTTGCTGTGGGTGACTTGTTCATCAAGTGGTCATCTGTGCAGTCACACAGATGGGCTTCTGTGCCTGTGCAGAGATCTTCAGAACATTCCAGAGTTCTGCAGATTTGGCAGTAGCACTGCACATGCTCTCCATTGCCCTTACTCCTATATGCCAAACTAATTCCCCTCAGTTTCAATCCACCACCAAAAGACAGCAGAACAAGGCACCAGAAACAGAGTGGGTTGTGTGATTTCACACATGATCATTCAGATAACAACGATTACACACAACAACGTGTTGTTGTTCTTCATGGTTTCTGTGACTCACATACATGGGAGATTTTACTCTGCCTTACCAGAGGAGGATGGTGTCATGAGAAGATAGATGTAGTTATTTGCCAAAAAGGGCATCAGAACCTGGAACCAACATCCAGATGGTAATGATGTACTGCTGCACAGCAGATATCTGGGAAAGGAGCATCATGAAGGACAGCTATTGAAGTTGAGATATATCTAGTAGAGTGACTCTTAATTCCAGCTAGAACTGGTAGCTTGGTCATCTTGTACACCAACTCTATATAGTCAACCAGCCAATGAGCCAAATGCTGGGAAGAAACAGGTAGACCACGATGGTGACTACTTTAACGGGCAAAAGGTCAGGAAGGCTGACAGAATTAGGCTGCTTGTGAAGTATAGAAGGCTGGTCCCCGACATACAGAGAGATTACACCAGGGGTGTTGAAAAATTTTGAAAAAAGGAAGGTAAGTTTATGGCTTGGTACTTTGAAAGGTAGAAAGACCTCTGAGCAAAGAGCTACAGTACCTTAACTGCATGGAAATTTAGAGCAGATGGAGCAGATTGAAGAGTTGATAGTATCTGCAATGTAGATGTTATATCCACCAAAAACACTGTTTTCAAAGAAGGCAAACATCACAATCTGCCATTGGTTCAAACTGTACACCTGTCAGCTAAGAGGATCACCAGGAGGGATTGTGGGTGTCAGTATTCTCAGCCAGTAAGTGGAGTTATTCAGACATTTCAAAAAATTTCAAATGCACGGGCCAGGGGGGGGGAAAGTGTTGGCTGATATGTCACAGCAAGATAAATTGTAATAGAAAAGGATGCCAAATGGTGGTGCTTTAATGTGAAAAATTACTCCAGGGCTTTAGCAGCATCATAGCAGAGAGGCCGCGAGCTCCTTTCCTCTGTCTAGGGACAAAACGCCTTCCATTTTTGTTCGTAGGAGGCAATTGCAGATGGTTTCCTGGTGGCATGGAAGACTGCAGGTACCTCAGATGAGACGGAGGAATGGCTTATATTCTCCAAGTCATGAGCTGTACAGATGGAATGTTGGCCTGTTTCGCTTTGCTATAGTGTTATGGGATTACGTCCGGGCACAGTGGAAGTCCCTGGGGCAGTTCTCATGTGAAAACAAACAGCAACTCTCCTGAGGAGGCGAGGAAAAACATATCCATTAGTTTGAATTTCCAAGGCACTCGGGAAGCATTGCCCAGAGATTTGGGACCTGCTCCTATTCTGGTGCAGAAAAGGGACTTATTCACATTTGTTGGAAAGGCAAATACTGTATGTCAATATCTGGATGCCTCACTTTTGAGCAATTTGGAGAAACGCATCTTGATGGAGTTCCGATGCATGCATCATAACTGAAGACTGATTGAGAACATCTGTGTGTTCTTCATGCCTGCAAAGTCCATGGCTACTGGTATAATGCAATGAGTGATGCACCAATCCTAGAGAGCTACAGTAAGCTGAAGAGGTACAGATGAACACATGCCACCCTGTTTGTTTACGTAATACATGGTGCTTGTGTTGCCCATAATTGCTTGGAACACTTTTTATCACAGCAGTGCCCTGATGACTGGGGGAGGGGGGCTTTTGCACTGCAATTATCTCCAAGTCATTGATGTGGAAAATGCACTCAAGTGAAGACCACATGGCTTTAACTTGCAAATTGCAGCAATGAGCAGCCCAGCCTGTATTCAATGCATCTGTCGCGAGTAATACTGATGGTCGTTGTCTGAAGGAGAGTCCCATTGTCAAATTGGAAAGTTAAGTCCACCATGGAAGGCTGTCCTAAACATGAAGTGGTGGAGACAAATGTCTGACTTTTAGTTCACGGTAGATGTTAAAGACACACAGGAACCAATGTTGAAGCAGACAAAGATGAAACTGTCAAAGGTGGCCATGTGGAGCCCATGAGGTCTAGCAGCTGAAGGACAGAACTGAAGACTGTGTCCCAATGTGAATGGCATAGCTGAGCTAATATTTGAGTCCCATGAGGTCTAGCAGCTGAAGGACAGAACCGAAGACTGTGTCCCAATGTGAATGGCATGTGCTAGCTGAGCTAATATTTGAGTTCCATTTGATCCCAGGGAAATAGTGGAAACAGTTCCCAAGTCCAGTGAAGCACTTACATATCAGAAACAGTTCCCAAGTCCAGTGAAGCACTTTTACATATTGGATGGATTGTGCAGTCTGGATCTCAAATGAGTCACAGGGTGTGACAAAGGTGAGAGTGCAAGGAAGCGAGGGATCTTGCTGCCAGGAACCAGTCATCTATATACAGAAATACGCTGATGCCTCTGGGCCTCAAAAATACTACTATGGGGGCCCTGCACTTCATAAAAACACAGGGAGCAGCGGCAAGAGGAAGCACTTTGAACTAGTATAGCCAATGGCCTTGGGCGAATGAAAGGTAATGCCTGTATGAAGAAGGCCTTATGGCTATGTAAAAGTAGCCATCCTTGAGGTCTATCAACTTGAACCATATACCTCTGCATAGGCAGGGAATGATACTCCTGCATAGGAAGGAAATGTGTGAGCATTTGGAAATACTGAAGATAAATGTAGTGGTTTATGCCACTGAAATACAGGATGCAGGAGAATCCTCTGTGAGGGTGTTTCAGTAAGGAACATGAACCAAAGGTGTAAAAACTGAGAATTTTAGATTGCCCTGTGATGGAGTGAAGTTCAGGTACACAGTACTGTACCTATGTTGTTGCTCTGATAAGCAGATGAAAAGGAACTATGACCTGCAGGAATATGGATACGAGCAGTGCTACCACCAAATCTCATCAGATCTGAAATGTTCCAAAGACTTTCTCTGCACAGACACAGAAGCCCATCTATGTGATTCACAGGGATCACAAAGAAAAGGACCAAAAGGAGTGAAGTGGCACTGGATGTGTTGCAATTGCAGAGACAATGTAAGTAAAGTGCCATGTGCCAAAGTGGACAGGATCCAATGGACACCTATTCCTATCTCAAGCATTTGTCATACATGCACAAGTCATTAATGTTTTCTGGACATTTTTGTCCAGCACATCCAGAGTTGACTCTGAGATCATGGTGGAAGGGGTTTGTGTAGAGGTGCTAATTATATACACTGCTCGTTTTACAGGGTTGCAGCCTTGACCTCAAAAACCTTGCATTTTTTAAGCAATCAAATCAAATGCTGCTGCTCTTGCTTTGTTCACAGTGTTAACATAGAAGTTTAAAAACATGCTTAGATTGAAAACCACATGGGAAACAAATGGTTATTTCTATTCATATTTGGAAATGCATTTCTAAATACATGGCCACTTCTAGTAGGGCAACTATTTGCCTCACAAGTATGATAGGACCCCTGTTTTGAAGTCCCATTTCTAATCTTCATGTAAGATGAAGGCACAAAAACTACATTTTTCAAAACATGAAAATACTGAGAACTCCAAGAGTGGGAAAGGAATTCTTTTTAAAAAGAGTTTTACAACACTCGAGCCACTATTCTCATGAACAAACAATAGAGGGGGACTTTGTGACAAAGAGAAACTGTGTGCTCTGCTTAGGCTTAGAGAACATAATCTTTGTAATTTTGCAAAGTTTTCTAAGGATTGCTACCCCCTTCTGACATGTATCATGGGATAATATTCATGAGATCCAGTTGTGTATTTCCTGAAAGATAGCACCTTTTTACAATCTAATACTCCCCCCTCAATACTCTAGCTGCAGACCAGAAGAAAAAGCACCATCTACTGCATCTTATACGTAATCATCTCTTCAAATGAAGAGCTAGTTTGTTTATTTGGACTAAAACTCTCAGAACACCCCAATCTGGTTACATTGTTTGGGGGAATCCAGGAAACAGTAGTAAAAGCACTGTTTCCCTGCTGAAGTAATGTTTCAAGCAACAGCTGGTGCAGAGGCCCACAGTAATATGATAATTTACATATACACGTGATCTAAATGGGCCTGTCCAAATTATGTTCCAAATTCTCATGTTTTAGACCAGCTTAATCCTGCTAGCTGAGATTGCCTGAGACAAACCTACAGTAGAATTAAGCAGAAAACCTTCAGTCCCATTATCTGGATGTTGAATCATGGCAACTGGACTTCTTTCTTATTACAGTAGGTTGAAACGTTTTGCTAGTCATCCAAGTGGCTTCTTCAGTCATCGATGAGTAGCGAAACATTTCAGCCTCATAATAAAGAAGTCCAGTTGCCATGACTCAACTTCCAGATAGCCTCACCTGGATGAGTTCACAGATATATTTCAGTCCCATTAAGTGCTGCCACCTGGCCATGTTTCAGTTAGAGCTTTCTGTCCCATCTTTCAAAATGAAGTCTCTTGTTCCTTCTCAGAGAGATTTTCAAGGCTTGGATTCTTCCTATTTTGGAAAAAGCAAAGGAATCACATGTAAAGAAGCACTGTTTCTGTGTCTGGCAATGTAATTTGTGCACTCAGAAAATGCCAACTACAACGCGCAAGTCTGGCCCTGTTGATGATGTGTGTCCAGCAATTCTCATATTCCCAGCCTGTCCACAGGGGCATAGAGATCTGCATATGGATTGTTGATGGCACGGTTTCTATAGAGCAGGGGTGTCAAACTCAAATTCATCGGGGGCCGCATCAGCAGTTTGATCCCCATCAAAGGACCAGTTGTATCTGTAGGTTAACTTGAGCCATTTTTTAAATGAATTTACAGTGGTGCCTCGCACAACGGGCGCCTTGTAGAGCAATGAATTCGCTCTATGAGGCCATTTTTGCGATCGCAAATGCGAAATGGCTGCGCGCAACCATTTCGGGGCTTCCGGCAGCATTTTCGAGCGCTCCTCTTGCTTACCAAGGGTGCGAAAACGCTGTGCCCCGGCCCCTTTCAGCCAGCAAAAGTCTGACAATGTAAATCTCAGCAATGAACTGCTGCCAGTTAATTAGTCAGAGCTTTTATTTCTAGCTGCACACTAGGTCATGCACCCAGTTTAGTGCCAAGAAGTACAACAGTTCAGTACAGAGATTTACATTTGACCTGTGCCAACAGGCGTAAGTAATGTCTGGCCATTGTTTGTTACTACAACATGTGTTTATATAAGTCAGGGGTGGGCTTCTGTGGCCTCCAGGTATTTTTGGCCCACAGTTCCCATCAAGCCTAGCCAGTATAGTTAGTGATGTGGGATTATGGGAGTTGCTGTCCAAAAGCATCTGCACAGCCAAAGTTGTTCCGCGGGCCATCAGACGAGGTCTGGCGGGCCGGATTTGGCCCGCGGGCCTTGTGTTTGACACCCCTGCTATAGAGCCAAATGATGACATATAGACGTGTTTCTCCTTGAATCAATCCTTCCTGCCCCCTTAAAGAGCTGTTGTGCACTTTCTGGCACATCAGTAAGGCACGTATTCTTTTTGGCACACTTCAGTGCGATCCAAAAAAGCTCTTTGTTTCATCTGTGAAGATGGTTAACTTGCATCAAAATGGAACTGTGGGCAGAGTTAACTGCAATGACAACACCATTACATATTAGGTGGGTTTTGACATTAAAAGGGAGGGTGGAGAAACCACCTCCTCTATTTTTTGTCTTCTTTTTAAAAAAAATATTTCTCTAACTGATGCAGTAAATTCAAGAATGACATTTTTACCTGCTCTGGATGTTGATTAGAATATATTAAAAAACCATCTGGCTATCTATCCATATGCTGGTAATCAAAGAAACTGATACATGCCATTTGCACGATAAGGCCTTGCCTTCTATGTCAATATAGGGGGGTGGGATAAAAGAGCTCTCCTGCTCTATCCTATGGAAAGTTTCTGTAGTAAAAGATGGAAGTTATCCTTATAACTGGGGAAATCCTACCTTAGAATTTCAAGGGCATATTTTGTTTCCTTCCGACTCTTCTCATTGATGGGATAAAAAAGGAGTATGAGTAAGCCTAGGGGAATGAGGACAGATGGGACGGCACCAACCAAGATTTTCAGCATGGCGACAACACTGCTGGACTGGCTGCACGAACCTGGCTTATAACCTGCAAAACTATGAAAAATTTGCAAGAGCTGTTACTGTCACATCGTCCTGTCATCACAGTCAAAAGTTCTCCCTCACAATCCATAATTTTGTCTTCCTGTCTTTCTACAGTTTTACTGGCTCCTTTATATTGATTTAGCTTCCCCAAAGGCCTGTCTGTTTCTCACTAATGAGACCTCTATACAAACATGTCATTCCAGATCTGAGAACTGCAGATGTTAAGGACTTGTACTGTAGATGAAAGCCCTGCCCAAAGGCTGTTGAATGCCTGAGAAAAAGTCTTGACCTCTACTAATATTTTCTGCTTCGAGCAATATTGGCCAGCAGTGGCTGGAATCCTGTTGCTTAGTACAGTAAGTTACAACTACAGTAAGCTCATTTTACTCACTGGAAATTAGAGAGGAGTTGATTCACCAAAATCCCAATGACTTGATGCATCTACTCTAGTTGTAATTTACTCCTGCCAGGTAAGAATACCAAAATACCCACAAAATGAATGGAATTGTAGGTGATCAAGGCCCTTCTTTAGTATCAATCAATCCTCTTTTCTCAAAGTGACCAGACTTCTGAAAAACTTTATCATTTTTACTGAAAATGTTTCAAAAAGAGATTAAAAAAAATAAAGCTCCAAACAGTTTCAAAAGATAGTTTCAACAATTCCAAAAGCACTCAAAAGTAGTGGAGCAAATAAGGATTCCAAAAATATCAAGGCAAACAAACTTCAGAACAGTTCCCATAGAAAATAAAAAAGCTGAATGTCCTATGCTAATACTCACATTCAAACAAAACTTCAGCATGCTTCCAGAACATGTACAGAGTACAAATCAGGCAACAAAGCAGCAGGTGAGCTTAGCATTCTCCGAAGAGAGACTAGGCTAAACAAAGCAAACTATCCTTCCATTTTTAAACCCATCATTCCACTTTCCAGATCCTTTGAGGGATTTCGCCAATCAAGCCTGAAGTCACCCTGAACCTTCTTGAAAACAGTAACTTTTGTGATGTAACTTTGCTCTCTTAGCTCCCTTTATTTCATCTGAAATCAGTTTTTAAAATTAGCTCATACCAGGCTTGAGTCTTTTGGCCTTGAAAAATCTTTCACACACTGATAAGACACAGATGGAAGAACCTTCCAATTAATAGGCAAATTTCCCCCCTTCTGCTGCTCTGCTCCTTCCAGATAGGAACTCATACAAGCTAACAAGCCTGTATTTTCAAACGGCTACTGAAACCAGCATCTCCCCATTTTTCTGTCTCTTGATAGCATATTTGCAAAGAGGTAGGCAGATGGAGTGGACAGATTTTTTTTTTTGACTTATATACTGCCCCATAGCACTACAAGCACTCTCCGGGCGGTTTACAATTTAATTATACAGGCTACACATTGCCCCCCCAGCAAGCTGGGTACTCATTTTACCGACCTCGGAAGGATAGAAGGCTGAGTCAACCTTGAGCCGGCTACCTGGGATTTGAACCCCAGGTCGTGAGCACAGTTTTAGCTGCAGTACAGCGTTTTAACCACTGCGCCACGAGAGTCTTTCCAATAAATCAGATGATGATTTATTGGCAAAGAGGTAGGCAGATGGAGTGGACAGATGATGATTTATTGAAAATATATGACAAAGTATGCTAACTTGCTGCGTACTCTGTGTGTGTGTGTGTGTGTGTGTGTGTGTGAGAGAGAGAGAGAGAATACGAATGCACACGCACCCCACTGAAGCTGAATCATGAGATTCAGGTCAATGAAACACAGGAACTTGCTGCGTACTCTCTCTCTCTCTGTGTGTGTGTGAGAGAGAGAATGCGCATGCATGCGCACCCCACTGAAGCTGAATCATGAGAGATTCAGGTCAATGAAACACAGGCACATAAGAAGCTGCCTTACATTGTATCAGACGGTTGGTCCATTTAGACAGCCTGGCTAGGATTTCAGGCAGGGTTCCTTCCTAGTCCTATCTGGAGATCCCTCGTGTTCCCAGGTGGTTTCCCATTCAAATATTAACTGAATCTCACCCTGCTGAAGTTCCAAAATCATATGAGAACGGAAATATTTCTTTACATACTGAAACTAGGGGCTGCATTGCTACAAGATGTAATATTGGCTGCTGACTTTGTGGCTTTACAAAAGGGATTATGAGGATAGGACTATTAGTGCTAATGAATCAGGTCAGCTACCTACCATCTCCCAATACGAGGGGCAGTGTACTTCTCAAATCATTGGAGTCATTGTTTTACAATGGCCTAATTAAGATACTAGAAGGAAGAAAGCACTCACTCCAGACTGGAGGAAGAAATTCCTAGTCCAATCCCAGCTGCTATCTTGGTGAAAAAAACGTAAGATGAATAGAAGATGGTTTCATGTCCTGTTGAGTGAGGATTCTGCACTCTAAAGTGGTCAACGACATCAGGCAACATAGACCTTTAACCAAACAACAACAACAGAACTATTAGAAATTGCTGGGAAATGTCACTATGGCATTACTATTGGCACACTTCCCCCTGCCCTTTTCACTTTTCTGGGGCATAATTAATAAGCAGTATGCTACTTGATAGCTTTAACTAAAGCATAGTGGGGTGGAGAATAATTAGGTCAGGGTTTGAAGGAATCCTGAAGCCATCAAGGCTCTCACTGAAGACCACAAGCAGAGACTGATGCTGGCAGAGCTTTGATCTCCAGGCAGAAGCAGGGACAAAGGGAGTGGGGATTACATTCTTGATTAACATCAAATTTAATTATTTCTGCTCACAGGAATGTGATATCCAGAACAATAGTTAACATGAAAGGATGAGTGTGCCACATTCCCCTGGAAGATTTTTGTAATGAGCAGCAATAATATACCTTTGCAAAGCCCTTTAAGCTATCACCACAGGAAGAGGGTCCTGAAATATCTCAACTTCCCACAATCAGACAGCTATTTCGCAGAGTATCTCCAGCTAATTTCAACCTCTTTAAAACGCCGGTGCAGATTCAAATATAAAGAACATTACTTCTTCCATTTGAACAGATGCTAATCACAACTCATGATTACAGATGTGTCTATTGTGTTATTTCCCTCAGCTTTTCCACAGACATAAGAGTGACTGCGGGAGGCATGCCTTCATTCACTGTTGGATATCAGGGATGGGGGGACTTGAGCCGTGGGACTCGCTGTCGAGTCAGACTTAAGTCATGCGGTTGACTCAACTCTGATCTGACCCGGGGCTCTTTTTTCAATGGCTCAGACCTGAATCACAACTCGGAGCATTTTGAAACAAACTGGTTGCCAGTGAAAGTGTTGCAACAGGAGGGTCACACAGTCCCAGTAACAAGCCCCCCCGTCAGCAGTCTGGCTGCAGTATTCTGCACCACCTGAAGTTCCCAAATGGTGTTCAGAAGCAGCTCTACACAGAGCGCATTGCAGGAATCCAAATGGAAGGCAAGCAGGGTGTGTGACACCATAGCCAAGGAATGGGCACGAAGGAGCACATTGGTTTTAATTGTGCAAATCTACTCCTGGGCCGCTGAGACCTGGGCGTCCAGGCAAAGAGAGGAATTCAGAAATACACCCAAGCTACACACCTGAATTTTCAATGGAAGGGTAACCCCATCCAGCACACTCGTTGACCTGCCTTTTGACTGACAAGAAGCATTTCTGTTCTCCCCGGATTAAGATTCAATTTGTTTACTGTCAACCAGCCCAGTCCCTTACCAAATTCAGGCACCGGGTCAGGACAGGGACAGCTTCCTTGGATTTAGATAGACAGGAGGGATAAGAGTTGACACTAAACCCTCAAACCTCAGACCACCTCTCCCATGCTTTACAGTCTTATGTTTTGGCTGTAATGGTTTCTGCACCAGGTCTCTGCCTGTTTGCAGAAGGACAGCAAAGATGGGGCCAGCCTGGCCTTCCTGTGGGAGGGAGTTCCAGAGTCTGGGAGCAGCAACACAGAAGGCCCTCTCCCATGTCCTCCACCAAACACACCTGTGAGGGTAGGAGGGACTGAGAGAAAGCCTCCCCTGATGATCTAAACATCATGAATATGCATTAATAAATCATGAATACTTGCATGCAGATTGTTAAGGCAGACAGTTCTATTTTGCTGCCTGAAAGTCATAGGTTTTCAGTTTCTGAACATACATAACATTTACTACCAGTTCAGCCATTTTTGATAGTTTTGCATTAGCTCTGACAGGTAATGACCCTTTCAGAGGGTTGCTCTTTCTTATACTCCTTGTCTTGTTTATCTGTTTTACATCTATTGTTAGAAAGACTCTGATGTTCTACACACTCCACTGCATGCATTTCCTTTAAACTGGGGGGGGGGGCTCCAGAGATCTAGGGGGCCGATATTTAATCAACAGGACCCTGTGAAACCTACAAAGAATATTGCAGAAGCTGCTCTTTAAGTCCACTTGCAGTTTTGTTAATAAACCAAACAAACCTTGTGTATGTTGGGGTGAGGTGGGGAAAGGAGATGATGGGGATGTATCTTGTTTAAAGGCAAAACAGCAAGTGGAAGAGGCTATGCTTCTACCAAAAGAACTTGAGGTTGAGAAGTGACCTCTAGGGCAGGGTGGAGTGGAGGGGTAACAAAAAAGCCCGTGGGAAGCCATGTGTGACCTGTAGGCTGCAGGGATCCCAACACTGCTGCAAATATTGAGAACCACTTCATTATTTTTGGTAGATGGGTGCACGCATCTCTTACCATGGCAACAGCATAGAGGCTGCAATACTCAGCCCAGATACGAAGGCCACCATGTAGGCAAGAGTCAGGTTTGGAATTGTCACCAGCATAATTGTGAATGGAATCATCCACTGCAAGAAAATGAAGTCATGGAGAAATACAGTATTCATTACTCATACAGTCTATAGAACTCAAAACACACACACATGCACACCCAAGCACGCATAAACCAGAAAGTCTTTGAGACACCATGGTTATGTGATCCTTAGTAAGATCATATTATAAGGCTTCCATTTTGCTCATCTAAAACCTTTGAGAACTAGTCAAGACTAGCAGAAGTATGCCATCCATGAGAAAGCCATGTCTAGAAGAACAAGGCACCAAGAAAGGTTTTTGCCTTTTGGGCGATTCCCCTATGTCACAGCTAGAACACAGCTAAAACATGTGCTTGATTTATGAGCCTTATCTTCTGGTGCTTTTTATCATTTAAAAAGATGTGGTTGCTAAGCACAGAAATAAAGAGCAAATACTAGGTAGACTGTATGTCTAGTGTAGAACAGTGGAATTATTTAACATTGACTTTACAACTTCTGGCTGATTGCTACATGGACTAGACATCTGAAGCCACATGTTTTCTGCCCAAGGAGCTGGAGGCAGCATGCGCCACAACACTCAGGAACCCTTTCGCTCTCCTTAAGTCCTTTTCTGCTTGAATATTTTAAAAACAAGACATTTTGGATACAGATACACCAGAGACTTCTGCATGTAATTTAATAATAGCCAAGTGTGAGTAGGAGCGTGTTAATATTATACTATAGTGACTTTATGCTGAGTCGGATCTCAATTTAGATGCACAGAACTGGTAGGTGTAAATTGAAGTCCTTGCCTCTCCCCACAGCAGCCCTTCCAGACCTTTGAAACTACCACAGAGAGGGTGGAGGGTGGTTACAATACAGAGGAAATACTCAGAAGTCAACCAAAACCACTTTTCATGAGCCGAGTTTATCTGCAGACTGAAGGAGCCCTTCTTTCCACACAAGGCAGATTCTGGTTCCACTGGTTCTCTGTAAGGACAATCCAGTGGAGTCACAGCATTCCAGTAGCAATTGTAGCTGCCTCATGCACAGTGTTCATCCTGTGTCTTATTTTAATTATGTATTTATTTAAAATATTTATACCCCACCTTTCTCCTTAGAAAGGACTTAAGGCCGCTTACATATATTTAAAAGTTAACATCAGTAAGTATACAAATAGTAAAAAGGACCAAACAAATACCACTGGTAAACGAAAGGAAGTCCACCAAAACATATTAAAAGCAGCAAGGCAGAACAATCCATTTAGAAACCCCACTCAGGCAGCCAGTCACTGAGGGGAAGCTTGCCTGAAGAGAAAGGTCTTTGCCTGCTTGAGGAAGGACAGCAAAGATGGGGCCAGTCTGGCCTCCGGTAGGGCGGAGTTCCAGAGTCTGGGAGGAGGAACAGAGAAGACCCTCTCCTGTGTCCCCCTCAGATGCACCTGTGATGGTGGCGGGACTGAGAGAAAGGCCTCTCCTGATGATCTTAACACCCAAGCCAGCTCATAATGGGAGACACAGTCTTTGAGATAACTTGGACCCAGGCCATTCAGGGCTTTATAGGTTATATGTCCACCACGGATACACAGTACAATTTAAACCTGAAGGTACACAATTATTATTTATTATCACCATTTAAAAGGCACCATACTTCAGCCAAATTTTCCTATTCTATTAATTTCTTACTGTTGTGCTTTTTAACATTTCAGGTTCATGTTCCCCTTGTTATCCAGATACTAGCAGGTGAAAATATACTTCAGCAGTACCTGCCTAAAGCACCTAACCATTAAAGCCCCAGACACTTAGCTGGGAAGCTTTCTGTTTACAGAATCAGCATTTTCATTCAGCTTAGAAAAGACGGGAGGTAACTGAATTCTGGATGAGAAAACCGGAGCACACACAATACCAGAATTAGTCTGAAGTGCTCAGCAACAGTCATCCTTTCACCACAAGAGAGCACTCCAACAATGCAAGATCATAATGCGCCTGTAAGCAGGTAGAGCAGAGTTGTTAATTCACTTGGAATTCAAAGCACCCAGAACCACATAAACCTATAGTACCATAAAATGGGATTTTCTATTAAAGAAGGAATATGGCCCAACAGAGAGCACATCAACTCAGACTAATATTCTTAGAAGCTTTGCTAACAGAAGTGAAGAAGCTAGTAAAGCAACTCACCACTGGTATGATTACTGCTCACTGTTCACCGAGAGTGAATTAGTGATTGTCCTTACTCATCCCATTAACTATAATAAACCATCTGTGCTTAATAAAACATTTTCCTTCCTAACACAGCTCGGAAAATACCAATATGTACAGATTTTATAATTAACCCATTTGGGAAAATATAATGTGCTAAACAGCTGAAGTGTTTTGAGAAAGAGCAGCGGTTAAGGGCCACAGAGCAAAGCCACGAAGAGAACAGAATCTCTGGTTTAAAGAAAATAAAAATGTATGAAAGCTATGTTACAAAAGTGCAGAAAGGCAAAGGTTAGTCATTTAAGAATGATCTAATCTATGCATTTTTCTATTCCATCTGTAACAATAAGTGTGTGCCAATGAAATCAATTCTGACTTCTGGTGACCCCTTTCAGGGTTTTCTATGTAATACTTTTCCAGAAAATACTCAGAAGTGGTTTTACTATTCTCTGCTTCTGGGGGGTATCCTGGGACCATACAGTTTGCCCAAGGCAACCCAGGCTGGCTCTATTTGCAGGAGGCCCAGTGGGGAAACAGACTCCCAATCTCTAGGTCTGCAGCCAGATACCTAAACCGCTGAATTGCCCAGCCAATCCTATTTCAATGAAAGCCAAGTGCTTGCTGCTACCAACATTAACTGTGGTTTAGGCCAGTGGTTCTTAACCTTTTTGAAAGAAACGCCCCCTTGAGCCATTGAGGAAGTTATCATCGCCCCCCTCCCCGCGGTGATGATATCTTATTTATTTA